ATATATATATATATATATATGAATTATGTTCAAGCAGCACAAATAACCAACAATATTTATTGATTTGAGGTATTGAATTTTTTTATGAGTTCCATCAGCCATCTCTTCAAATTAACTCCATCTACCACCAGACTATACATAATTGCCCACCCCTGGCCTAGACAGCTGTACCACCCAGATGGGTGAATTCAAAGCAGTGTGTACATAAAAATCTAGAGAGAATAAAAGTGACACATTTGGATCAAGTACTTTAGCATTCTCCTACCAGATTATTGCCTTAACAATCACTGTTGCAATTCCAACCAAAACACTAATCAAGCAAATGGTAACCAAGCTTGGAACTTGTTCCAGACTTCAATATTATTGCATACATACACACACACACACAGAACAGGAAACTAATATTCTGTGGTGATGTATGAACTATGTAATTCACATTTCTTAATTCCACATTCACTTCATTCACATATTTAAATATAAACAAACCAAAAAGACCACAAGAAAGGAAAGGAAACCTTTGGTCCTAAGTTTCTTCTGCATTCGTTTATGTTCCCCTGTTGTCTCCTTATTTACAGAGTTTCTTCCATCATGTGAAAGCACATCACTGTTTATAGATGATGTCCAAGATGCAAGTCGTTTCCGTCGACCACCACTACAGCTGGTAGAACTAGTATTTTCAGGATCCCCTCTTCTCCTTCTCTTGGCTATTTCCCAAGATGAACGAGGAGTAACAATGTTTTGATTATCTGTGACAGAGGTGCTTTCACTATTGTTCCCTACAGTAATGTTATGTATGCTACTATCAATAGTTTCCAAAGGAATTGTAATGGTTTCTGAATCACATTCAATAATAGATGTTCCTGAAGAGCCAAGGAGTACAGATGGACCACCAGTTGTGAATGGTGGGGACGCTGCTGGGGGACTAACACACCCACCAGATGTTGGCACAAATACTTCTAAAACTTCCCGATGCTTTTGCAAAGTCACCCTGCGATCCATTCGCTCCAGCCTCTGTCTGAGCTGTAGAAAATGTTAAAAAATTATGTAAATATAAAAACATCGGTGGCAAAAAAAAATACAAAATGTGACTGATAAACAATTTTAAAAACTGGAAATTTTTACAAATATTTTCTTTTTAAATAAATTACTAAAACAATACAAAGCTCTCAATTAAATTATGCTGTACATTACACAACATAGACTGACAGGTCCTCAAAATATGCAGTAAATGCTACATTCCGACTGTAATATTTAATTCAATGAGATTAATGTGACTTTACAAAGTATTCATTTACTCACATGGGAGCCATGATGTAAACAAACACGTTAGTCAATACAAAACAAAAAAACTCTTGAAACATAGGAACAGTAGTTGAAATTTACGTCTTAGAAATGGTAATTTTTCGATTATCTTGTAGTAGCGCCTTATATAAATTCATGTTAATAAACCAGATCTATTTAACTTCATTCCATTCACTTCCGCTTGGTGACGATGCTTGCGCTATTGTGACTGAAAGGCGCACTATATCAGAAACACTGCATTGTTTTTAATGTGTTTGTATCATAAAATATTATCTAATTTTAACATGTACACAGTCTTAAGTATATTACTCACCGTTTCATTTTCCTGGCGCAAAGCAGAGAGTTGTTTATCTTTTGTTACTAACTGTTCCGACTGCTGTTGTATTAAATCGAGATGTAGAAGCAGCAACTCTTTTAAATGTTTCACTTCAGCACCATCCTTTTGAACAGTTGTTCCTTCAGTCAAACTAGCATACATGTGGTCGAATTCACAGGAATATGCAAGTATCCCTGTTTTACTATCTTGGGCATTAAACGGGTCAACCTGCACTGGTTTGGCGCACGAAATGTGATCATGTATTGCTGCTACCATGTTGACGGAAGCGTCTGTCGAAAAATCTGCGACACCGCCTGTGTTTTCACCATTTAAAACTGGCGAGGCGTTTGACATCTTTAATATTAAGAAGTCCAGAGGTTTTGTACTTTTCTGCAAGAACAATGCACAATTCGTAGTCTGAAACACATGAAATAGCACGTAACAAGATCATCGATTCACCTAAAACACACCATACACCATAACATTCATTAGTTTCCAAACTTCCTGCTAGATAGCAGGAGCACCAACAGCACAACTGCCATCTAGTGTTCATAATATAAATGACCAGAAGCACACAAGAACACACCAGTACAATGCGCTGCCTAAAAGCGCTACAAACGTACTTTGCACTTAAACGACCCGTTCTTCAGCTCGCGCGCGGGCCCCAGCATCTCCTCCATTCCTCTCTGTCCCAAAATAAACAGCAAAATATGTAAAAATTTTATGCCCTACATAAATATTTGGAACAATGGATAGATATTGCGGAACATATGTTATAAGTTTTGTGATTTGTCGTCGCCGCCAACCTATTTGTAGCCAAAAAATGACGTCATCAAACAAACATTTGTTTACTCGCCATTGTTGTATTCTATTTATAATAGAACACAACAATTTGATTTGTCGTCATCCCCAACCAATTTGTAGCCATTTGTTTACTCGGCATTGTTGTGTTGGTATACCAAGGTAAACTGATACTAATAATACTACTCATTCAAGTTATAATACTCATTTGATACATTACGATTACGAAAACTGACTTTATGATCGATTTTAAGACGAAGATTTGCAAGGGTGAGGCTGGACGTAGAAAGTTGACTGACCAATAACAGTTGGCCTCTGAACAGCGACATAAAGAACTAAAACATCAGACCTATTTAACAGAGGAGCAAAAAATTGACAGTGGAACCACGGTTCCGGAGAATCTGACGTAAATACGTCTCTGTATTTAAATTATATTTAAGCAATAAATACAATGAAAGGAAGGTAGCTGAATGTAATGTAATGTCAAAATTATCTAGTCTACGACGCACTTCTTCTACAAGCGATTCACAGCTCAGCTCTTTCCGCATTAACGAAAGCGGGTTGTTGACGCCAGTAATGTAATACAACAATGCCGAGTAAACACGACGTTCCCTAGGTAACCATTGTTATCGATTTGTTGATACGGATCTTACACATTTTCCTTTCACTTTTTTGCCGAATGACCCTTCCGTATAGACGTATTTACGTCAAAAAAAAGAAACAACACACTGAAAAACGAAGTATTAAATATCAACGGAAATTGATATACGAAAGGAGCTCCGAAAGGAGCGCTTTGCGCTAGTATTTTATAAAACGACGTTAAAGTCACTATTGTTGTTTCCACGGTAACATTTGTGTTTGATTAATAAGACGGAATCCTTCAAGTTCTAGAATTCTGTGCATGAGCTAATTGAAACGACGCTTCATCATTATGAAGAAATTCATTATATTTATACTGATTGCATCCCTTGCATGTCTACAGCGTATTGAATCACAACCCATCATGAGATTACAACGCTATCATGAAGAAAGGTAACAATAATTAAAAACTGGAGTTATATTTTATACTAAAATATTTCACATTCATAGTTATTTTGCTCATAACCACCATACTTAATTATAAGTAGAACCTCGGTCTATGAAATGCAGCTTGGGGCCCGTTACAATTTATTTGTAATTTTAATCAATGCATTTACGTGCAAATTTAATCGGCAAAATATATTTTTGTTTCAGAATGAGAATGTGGTAAGAAAAGCGACAATTTGCCGAGTCTGTTTCATTCTATTGTATATTTTTGTAGAACAAAGTATTATAGAGCTAAGAACGTTCGCCTTGCATATGATCAGTTTTAGTCTAAAAAAGGCACAAAATGTTTTGTTGCTTCATATCGTGCGTCAAACGATCGTCCGAGTATCATGATTGCTACAAATCCAAAGTATCTACAGTTATGTGATTGCTTCATATCCAAAGTATATACGAGGTGCGATCGGAAATTAAAATATTCTTCACTACAAACTCAATCGTATTTTGAATACATAATTTGAAACAAGTGGGGATACACGTCGATGGCAAAATATGTGGTTTCATTGCATGCATCAAAGTCTGTGCTGAAATGCTTATTACATTATTTACCCATTACTTTTTGTCGATGAATGAACCTAAAGTAAGTAAAGCTGTTCCACTATACATCATGTAGGCGCTTAGGGGAGTGGAGGTATAGCTCCTCATTTTTAAACTCGGCAGTAGGTGGGAATGAGTGGTTACCGTCACGCCCCGGCCGAGCCAAAGGACCCCGGTAACCATTGGATGGGAGGGCCGGGTAGGCCCCAGAGTCGTTCTGGATGCAGAGGCTAGAGGAAAAATCCTCCGCACCCGTCGGGGATCAGAACCGCGGTCGTCCAGTCCGTTGCCAGTCAATATACTGACTGAGCTACCCTGTCTTATTAACTTTGACTAATGGGCCTGAAGCATCATTAAAAACTGCAAATTATGTTGAACTGTGGCATTCAAATTAAGACAATTTAGTTTGTGATGGCCAACTCAATAAGTGACTGCAGTCACTAAATTCTTGTTCTGTGCAACCAAATCTACAGACACTAGTTTTAGTTTCAGTGGTCCCATGAAGTGTTAGGGTCAGTGAAATGACTAATAACTCATTAAACTAATATATGATCATATGACATGCTTTTACAGTGATAACTCACATAATATGGCAAAATAAATGCCAAAAACAAATGAGGTAATATAACCTTATTTGATATACAATTACAGTCATAGCAGCTGAAAATAATAAATCAGCATAACTGTAACCAATATATAGGTCATGAAATGAACTATTAAAATGAAGTAATTAGTCTACAGACTGGCTATCTTAGCTCCTCAGCAAAAACTTTGCTTCCAAATCATAATTTACTATGACAAGATTTAAGAGTATGAGTGCTAGATGGTACCAAGTAAACATTTTATTTGTTCACTTTACAAGGTAATGTCTGTCTGTCCACACGATTCCATTTCATGTGAATCTGAAATGTTTTTAAATACAGGTGACTGTAGAGAAAGAACTAGTACATGAAATAAAATCTCATAATACCTACTTCAAGATGAGCACTTTTTGGTGCTGCATATGTAAAGAACTCTTACACTATACTGATATATACATTAATTTTCCTTATCTGTGCTTTTTATTACCTTTCAAACAATGATTTGTACACATAGTGAATAATATCAAGACCAATGTTGGGTGCAAATTCGGAAAGAATGTATTTGGAAAATCTGAGCCGTCAGTCATTAGACATGGCATGAGAAAACATTCTGAGATGAAGATTAAATTATTTTTGGACTGATCATAGCTTTGCATTATCATATCACTATTTATCCCATCCAAAGTTATTCATAATAATGGATGACACAAGTACACAATTAAAATCATCTGTTCATGTTATTTCCGTTCATAGGGGAAATGCAGATGCTCGATACCATGCACAGTGGTCAGTGTCTGAATCTGGCCACAGCTTTAATTCTTCTAAAAATGAACATGAGGTACAAAGGAATAAGAGAACTGAAGACTATATTCATTCTCGCATTGAAGCATTGAAAGCTGCCATAAAGTTAGAGTTATAGTTCTTCTGAAGATGAAAACAAGGCAGAAAGGAATAAGATATCTGAAGACCACATTCATTCTTGCTTTGAAGGTTTGAAAGCTACTGCAAAAAGAGACTGCCAAGGAGGAAAATACAAGAAGAAATGAAAACAGGGAAATAAACAGGAAAGGAGAAGAATCCCTATTACATAATAAGAATGCAGATGAAGGTCACAGCTTTATTTCTTCTGAAAATAAACATGAGGCAGAAAAGAACAAGAGAACTGAAACTGACATTCAGTCTCGCATTGAAGCTTTCAAAGATGCCCTAGAAAGAGAATTTATCATAGGAAAAATTACAAGAAGAAATTTAAATAGAGAAGTTAACAGGAAATCAGAAGAACCCCTATCAGCAAAAACAGCAATCATTAATATTCAAGAAGGGAAAAACAAAGATTCTGTAAGTATCAACAATTCAGTGGGGTCCGCAGTGGCAGCGCGGTCTGAGGCGTGGGCCTTGTGCCGCTTGGTCACTGGGACCGTGGGTTCAAATCCCACTCAAGCCATGGATGTTTGTCCACGTTTTTCTGTGTTGTGCTGTCCTGCGTACAGGTAGAGGCCTTGCGACGGGCCGATCCCTCATCCAAGGAGTCCTACCTAATGTCCATAGAACAAACCAACAGAAAAGTTGGGACCCGCAGTGCTCAGGCACTTGAAGAATGGGTCATTCCCAGTATCAACAATTCAGTAGCACCTCTAATTAATATTGTATAGATAACACAAACCTGTATATTGCCTACTAAGAAATTGGAAACTCTCCCAATACAGATTACTGTTTTAATACTATACTACTAATATATAATACATGCAATACAAACTGCACAAACTTTTTACTAGTAACTGTAAACAGTAATATTTCCGTATACAATATAATAATTAATTTTATCAACACTCTATTCACTGGAAGGCATAAGATTGCATAGAAGCATCATGTTGTGTATTTGAGTTTAAATGTTTATTAGTTCTGCCTTCACATAACACACAAGCGTTCCTTCTTTGTGTCTTGTATTAACACTGAATCAGTTACCATATTGGGCATGGGTCACTTAATTACATACATGTTAAGATGTAGGTCTATATTAAGATTATTCACTTGGTTAAAATATTTTTGAGTTTACAATTAAAATATGCTATAAATTAAATTGTGTCAGAACCTATGTAATACCAAGTGTTAATATAAAACATTAATGAACATTTAAACTTTATTGACTGTTTACCTGTTTGACTGCATAACTGATGTGTTTCAGCACCACAGAGCCACATACCTCACAATTTGAGATTTGAGGTTCCTAAAGCAGTGAAAATGTCAAACAAAATTAATACTGGCACCTGTCTCACAATTCACATATTAGTTACACTTATTATACCCTTATGCACTTAATAATTATACAAAATAATACATATTTTTAAAAACCTTGTCTTCACGCAGATGGGAGATAAAAAATGAATAATTAATGTTAATTTGGAAGCCTAAAGGAAAGAAACCATGTATGAGACATAGTTATAGATAGGAGGATAATATTTAAATTGTACTTAAAGAACAGGGTGTGAACTGGTTCAAACAGTCTGAAACAAGGCCCAATGAGAGGCAACTGTAAACATGGTAATGAATCTTCAGATTCCATAAAAGGCAAGGTATTCATTGATTAGCTGAGCAACTATCAGCACTCAAGGAGTCTGCTCCATTGAATTACTTAGTTACCATAAACCATTCTTACATCATTTTTACTGTATATTTTTTACATATTTTATTGATATCTGTATTCCATGCTGAACTTAAAAATAATTACATTATATTTAAACTTGCTTCATTTATAATTTGATATTTTTTGAATATTCATTATTGTCTTTACATGTATTCTTTTTGTAGAGCAGCATAAGACACAAGGGATCAAATAGTGTGAAAAGAAATAATGAACTACAATATCCATCACCTGACAGCAGTATGATGTTACCAGAGGACATTCAATGGTGGAGGCTACTTTGATGATGTGTCTGATGACTTATCTCAAGAAAGTTACAATGAAGAACTAATGAGAGTACTGTCTTTGAAGGAAATAAAATCCAGAGAAGTTTCAAAGACAACAGTAGGTCTGTCTGTTGCTAAAGTACATTTCAAAAGAACATTTAATGTTACAAGGATGGCCATCTTCTTGGTTGAGCACCATACAGTGTGGTAGAAGTTTACCAATGTTGGAGAGGTCCTTGCTGTTATAAACCAGAAGATAGCCATCTTCAAACTCACTGGTGAAAGAACACTCAAATCCTGATTAAAGGTTACAATTTGAATCCTTGTATGTGGTGAACAGAATTGGGTACTTGTGGGTTATCGGGACACAAAACGGGGGAGTTCATGTGGTGGTGTACAAAATATAATGGCGATATTTTTAAAATGATTTTAAAATCTATAAGCGAATTTTGGCCTCCAGAGACAGTTAGTAACAACAATTAACATCTCAAGCATATCAAAATAAAATATAATAATTTGTCATTTATTGAAATAAAATATAATAACTTTCAAGTATATGTCATTTATCCACACACATTAACCTAACGTAACCTAAGATAACCTAACCTAACCTATTTTTAAAGCGATGTGCCCCGATAACCCACAAGTACCCACAATTGTAAATAGTATTAACTTCATTATATAATACTGCACTACATTGTTTGACTTTATGTCGTCATCTGGTGCATCTTAAATAACAAATGGTATGAGTTATAAAATCACATTAGGTAGCTGGTAACTGACACATGGATCCATGTGTAGGTTGCCTATGTCAGATTGAATTGAAGAGCTTCCCTATGGGAACTGGGCAAATTTATATAGGGTCAGAAGAAGGGAAGGCTAAGGGAACAGACCAAACAGAGATGAGAAATGGGTCATGCCAACAGTCTCAAAGCTGGATATATAGAAGTGGGCTGGGTAGGGTGAGAGGAAGAAAGAATATGGCCTTTTTGGGGGGCCTACTGGAGGGAGCCAGGTTCTTGAAGAGCTCTTTCTTGGCAGGAGGACCACCACCCTGACTTATCTGGACAGTAACCTGCTAATGTAGTTGAAGGTGGTGGGGCTCTCTTGAAGGAAGAATTATTTATTTATTTATTTATTTATAGTTTATCCTGTGGAAAACTCTCAGAAACACAGATAGCCTTGGCCCTGTAAACCAAGGTGGAGGAAATCAGAGATTGGTGTGTGGGGGATTCCTGTCACAAGAAGCCATCAGGTCCCCTTTTTCCATGTTGGTGTGGATGATGTTGAGGTGAAGTAAGAAGTCATCTAGTTTCTCCTCTCCATGAGGAAATATCACCTTCACCTTTACCACAGAAGCTCAGATGGCCACATTCCCTCCCTACATACTGATGTTCACAGGAGACCTGATGGCTCCTATGGACACAGAGTATACAGGATCCAAAAATACCACTCTCAATCTGAATGCCAAATCTCATCACCATTTGGCAAACAAACTGCCTGTGCTCTACACCCTGGCTCACAGGCCAAAGGCTATCTGTGATTCTGACAGTTTTCCACACAAATAAAATTTCCTTCCTGAACAATGGTTACACAGAGAGGATCCTACATCCAAGAACATTGTCAAGACAGTTGGCTTCCTGTCAAGAAAGCTCTTTAGCCCATCAAAGAAAACCTGTCCCCAAAAATAAGGCATGATCTGCTATACAGTACTTGTATACAGTGTCAAAAAAAGATGTATAAACACATTCAATGAATGAAATATACATATTTTAATAAACTAAACCATTACATATGTCAGCACTGGCACTTAGTGAATTAGCAAATCTAGCGTAGATGTTCAAAATGACCACCGTCCATGTCTTCCATAAACAACATAGAGATTAATAACAAGGTTAATATTCTGTATTATAATGTATATACATCTGTTAGGGACATTCTGTACATTGGACTTACCACATATATGTGATGTAAATACTTTTCTATGTATATTAAAAACAAGCAAATTGTAAATAACCTTTGAAAGTATGACAAAAGACCAAGTCTTCCTGACAAATGACAAACCCAACATTACCACTTCAATCCTGAAGATGACCTAATAAGTTCAAAATATGCAATATAACACAATAAAAAGACTTTGTAGCCAGTATATTATAGAATAAAACAAGTTTAAACTTTGTATAATACAATTAAAAGGTTGTACAGCCAGCATAAAATAAAATAAATTCAAGTCTTTAGTTACCCTTCAAGAACATTTATTTCCTCAAATGAGCAACAAAACATTCGCATCCCAAGCAAACAGAAACAAAATGCAAATCACATAAAATATAAATGCTGACAATACCAGTGCGATTCACTTCACTGCTGAGGAATATCATTCAGAATCAAGATCTGTTCAGGATTGTCATGTTCTTTGGATAACTTTTGCAACTACAGTACCTCATGAAATTGTAATATTCATGGCTAAGGAAAGATGAGTTCCCCCCTCCTTCTCCTTGTATTAAACTGCTGAATTTGACATTGAAATGCAAGTTCATTATTATTATGCCAATCAAAAGGGGCAGTCAGATTAAGTGGGCTATTTAGTGTTCTTCAAAGATATTTCAGGGAAGCCTGTAAATGCCCACAAAGCATATTAAGTTAACAGCAGACGCATGTCTCTTCAACCCTGAAGACAGCGTTTCTCTCCAAAACGTTGACATCTTATGTAAAACGATCACAACCCAGAAGGCCAATATCGACATACATTGAATTCTCTTGTAGGTTAAACGTTTTCGAAAAGAAATCAAGCTTGAACCTTGCGCTGCATTTCAAGCCTCGAATACAGGTGGTACAGCGTATAGAACCTATATTCACAGCAGTGTAAATTTTTACCTACACGGGGAATAATTCGAAACGCAAACGTTTCATTTATTAGAACAATTAAATGCCAAAACGCATGTACTGTATTACTTACGAATGCTAGTAGTCCAAACGTGTGGTCGATTCTTTTATAAATGAAAATGTACAGTAAACTGAAGTACGAATTCATCTCCACCTACGTTCCGCTGTTGGGAATGCGACGCTGTACGATTTCGACATAACCTTGAAACATGTAATTTCATGTGTTTACGGTTACTACGGTCCTGTTGTCTAGCACAGGCTACAGTACTGCTACAAGTCATCGACACACGTGTGTGAGTGACGTATGTTGAAACAGGTGTCAACGCGTTAGGTCATCTTTGCAAAGTAGTACGAAAAAGGGGGAGCGTTGACATACGTAAGATGGCCAAAAAAAGTATGTTTCTAACATATGTGTTGTGGTTAGGTGGTGGATTTTTTGGTTTACACCACATTTACCTCGAAAGGGACGCTCAAGCATTTCTTTGGTGGTGTACACTTGGTGGTTATATTGGTTGTGGCTGGGTGAGAGATATTTTCCATATACCCGAATATGTGGCAGATGCAAATGAAGATAAAAAGTTTATGGAAAAACACATACAACGAGTAAAGGAACACAGAACGGTAATTTTTTATTAAGTTACCACGCAACTGATTCACCCTCTGCTTAATAACTTGACATTAAAATGTACATACATTTCTCGAACCATGGTGGTAATAGTCCTAATAACTGTAATTGTCAAACCACTAAGTGAATGAATGAATTACTACTAATAATAGTTTTTTGGAATTAATGTACAAATAACATGTTTAGATCTTTCTTAATGGGAGATTGCTTCAAGTACCCCTGTCCTCACTTCTGATGTTTTCATGTTTCTGCATACCAATAAGAATAGAAATATATTTTCACTACTGACTGTTTAAAAAATTATTGATCCTGTGCTATTCCTACATTGTTGTCAATATACAAGTAGCAGCAAGTGAAATAGGTATCAGAAATAGCAAGATTCTTCATAAAAGTGTTAGCAGTAGTGGGGTTCAATCAGATCAGGTTAGGGGTTCACTCTGCATTGTTTGTTTGGAAGATACAAAATAATTACTGCTGCTTCACTAATACTGGAAGTGGCTTTCTCACTTAACTTAAATAAAGCTGCTTAAAAATTAAATTATGCAGAAAGTGGTTTCACATTCTGCTTCCAAATTAACACCTGTATGTCAGAATCTGTTTGAAACATGTTGTCAACAATGAGCAATAGTAACGAGAGAATTCACCTGAAAGGAGAAGTATATTAAATTTCTGAAATAGGCTCTTCTTTTAATGTCTGCCATTTTTCTAATGATTTTTGTTTGGTTGTTAAATACTCTTTACTGTCTGTTGAATTTCCTCCAAAAATAACTTTAACATAAAGGAATGTAAGTTAATACACTTACAAAGATGATATCTAGTTTCATGTGCAGCCAACCAAATTAGATGTTCTAAAATTAGGAAATGCATCCATCTAAATCTAGTCACTTCATAGTGTCACTAACAGTATGAACTACACTTATTATAGGGTCAACAAAAATTACTCAGAGAAAATACATGACAAAAATTTCCTTAACAAAAGCTACATATATTTTGAAGATTTAAGGACACTACTGTAATGGAAACAGCCTATATCATGTTGGTATTATTGATGGTTGAAAATGAATTACAAAGGTGGGTTGCTTCCATTTATACTAAGCTTAATCAAATCTGTTAACTGGCTCACTCAAAAGTTATGGAGTATGGACACATAGACAAGATGATCAACTTCCTTTTCTTATAAGTAAAAAATGTAAAACCGAAAACAATTCCCAATGTTTTTGGATTTGAACCTAGGGCACTTGCAGGAATAGCACTGTAAGAGAATTATGTAACTGAAAGAGATCATAATAAAGGAAAACACAGTGCATTGTGTAGAAACAGGTAAGCAGTCTGCTGGCCTATTTTCATTCTTTTTATTTTATTTTAAATTGAAAAACTTCAGTTATGTAACTGAAGCCTGGAATATTTAATTCAAGAATTTCTGATAGTAATATTTGGTGTTTTTCAACACAAACACATGCTTCATATAACATTTGTACATAACAGTAAAACATCTTATAATGCCAAATTTCTTGTGTTCAGCTGTTCATTACTTACTATAATGAAATTTAAGGCCTTGAAACAATTTTGCAGGCTCTCAGATGATGTCAATAAATACACATTATGTTTAAAGGAAAAATTAGAATGTTTATAATGTTAAGGCAGACTTGAAATTTTGCATATTTTACATCTTATTTCAATCTAACATTTTCATTAGACTGCCATATTGGTATTCAGTAGTGCATGTTGCAGGGTTTCACACAGAATTTGACCAACATTATTAGTCATTATTCAGAATGTTAATGTACTAACTGGCATGAAATTTGGAAAGCTTGGAAAAAGTGTGCCTTCTCAGTATAAAAACATCGCAAAAACGTTTTTAAATTTGATTATGTTATCATATTACCATCATAAGTTAAATTTGCTTAACCATAATGGTGCAAATATATATCGTCTATGATAAGAGCAAGCTTAAAACAGTATTTTTTATGAGATCTACATTCATGTCAATTATGAGACTGTTTATCTTTTTTGCAAACTGTTCTAAAAAGTATATTAATTACATTTGTTAACAGAGCACATTGCAGGCATAATGTTTCAGTGCACTGATGAACCTATTGGTCACATAATGCCAGGAAGTAAGAATTTTGTTGAAAATAGTTGTTACATTTTATTTGTGAGTGCATATGCATGTATGTGTATCATCATGAATTTGTGATATTTTAAACATACCCCACTTTTTCATTTCCAGCCTCCATTTTCCACCACAAGATTCTGTGGTATGGTTATAATAGCGTACCTATGGAGCTCAGTTCTGTGGTTAGCCATTCCTGACGAAGAAGTTGGAGGTGTTAATTGGAGATGGTTAATTGTGTTTGTGCCGCTTGCTTGTGCATTGGGTATGAATGAAATGACATCTATTGATTAAATGCTCATTAATTTATGTTTTTGTATTATAGTAGTTATGTTTGTGTCTGTAGGGGTTTGGACAGTTGGCAATATTGGAAGAGAAGAAGGCACTATTCATTGGGCTTTGTTTGGAGCATATGCAACACTCCCACTTTACTGGCTCCTTGAAGATGATTCCACGTGGTACACATTGATGACATTTGTTTCTGCTTTAGCATTTGATACAAAATCAAAACAATGGCGGAGAAAACCAAAACAACAGAAATCATTATTAAAGTAGGTACTTGAAATGTTGTATAAATCAGTATATACATTGTGATCAAATACATAATCCATATAACAGACAAAATACAGTAAAATCTCTATGTAAGAAAATGCAAGCATGTTTGTTTCATAGAAGTTTTTTTAAGCATATTCAGTTGTAACATTCATTTTAATTTTACAATCATACAGTATTTGTGGCATTGAAAATATAAGTTCAAAAATAACAGTCCTTATCCTCATTGCATGGGTAAGGCAAAACTCAGCACTTCTGAACAGACACCATGCCTTCACTACACAGAAAACTGCAGTGTACTGCACAGTAATATAACATTTCATTATTAATAACACTTCATATCAGTTTCATGTTGAAGGTATTGTGAAATTTTCCATCAAAACCCCTTATTCCTGGCAGATAATGTTTTGCCATGAAAGAATAATATTGAGAATTAAAAACTAGTTTCTTCATGGTGATATTGAGTTATAATGAAAACAAGCTCTGACATATTATAAAATGTACCTTACACTTTTAACATTTAATGTTATAATAATTTTTGAAAGACTGAATATTTAAAATTAAAAACATTGTTTGCAATAATATTCATCATAGTTTCTAAGCATAATCTTTGTCCAGGCGCATCATGGTGTTGTCCATTTGTGGAATGCTGTACTTGTCCCTGTGGGGGAGTTACTTTTATTTCAATGCCAAATTCACGGATAAAGAGGGGGAGGAGATAAAGGTTTCAGAAGCTGTGCACCATTTCTTAACTTCTCCTTTGTGGACTGATCTCAAACAGTCACTATATGATACCTGGAATTATGCTCAGCACCATGGCTGGTATGAGATATGGAAACAACTCATTGATCTGTCAGATCCTCATGGAGAACAAAATGCATATAAGGTGTGTGGCCATAACTTGTAAGAAAGTTACATTTTTATGCACTCTTGCACAAAGTACTAGTAGCTAAGTACTGTATGTACTCAGGATTTATGTTCTGAATTTTCCTCTGAGTAGATGTAGGTTAGTGGAAGCATGAAACATTCTTGCTTTTGAGTAGAGGCACAAAGGAAGGATTCAAGAAAATGCTGCAGTGATGGAGAAGAGCCTACAGTCAGAAGGGGCACAGTGTTGTTTCAGTAACTGGCAGCCAAGTATTCTGAAGCAGTGATGAAATACCATTATTATACACACATATCTCTGGAATCACTGTTTATTACAATCATATCACTTAACATACAGGTACACATTTTAGAATAATTTCCTGCCAACCAATGTTAGATGCAAATATTGGGACATTAGTAAGTCACTCTGCTGTCTACAGTCAGTTAATATTTCCCACTTAAATGTCTGATAACATCCACAAGGATTTAATTACTTTAATTTGGAAACTAAAGTGCAGTTATGTAACTCGTTAATTGGGTCCCTTGTCACCACACTGTTACATGTGCTCAAGGTGTGGATGGAGGAAACAGCCACAAAATATGCAGGGAAGCTGTGAATATACTGAATATGCATAGCTGATGGAAGGTGATCTCCAACTTGGAGAATGGGTAGGGGCTAACAACCTCTTGCCATAAAAAAACTAGCTTGTTACAAAATGTTACACAGTGGAGGGTTCTTATGAGAATTCTTAGCATGATGAACTTGGGAGAAGCATGACTGATGAATTTCTAATATCACATACTTTTGGGGTTTTAGTCTTTGCAGTTTCATAGACCAGTTCATATGTTAACAGGTGCTTGGTGTTTCCAGTGGAGCATCTCAGCAAGAAATTACAGCCAGGTGGAGAGCCTTGTCTCGAGAATTTCATCCTGACAAAGCAAAAGATCCTACACTAAAGCAAGCAGCTCAGGAAAAGTTCATGGAAATCCAGCAAGCATATGAAATTTTATCGAATATTAAGAATAAAAGGAGTCAACGAAACAAGAAATTCAGTCCAGATTAATCACTGTAAATAAACTAATATGTCAGAGACCTGTGTATTTTGAAGAAATTGTATTTTTTTATCAGATTTGAAGAATGTTATCCATATGAATAGTTTACAAACCAAGTGATGGCTGCTTTTGGTAACTCGACATTTAATCCTATGTAGTTCCATGCTGAGTGTCTGTGGGTGCTATCATGGTGACCCACATGGCACTACAAGATCACATCAGACTGCAAATATTTATATCATTCTCAAACATCGATTTTTGAATCCATGGTATGTTCAAAACACTAAAGAAAGGTGTAATAACTCTACAATAGTAGAATCCCAAGGTTCAATACTAATATCTACAGCGATGTTGTCAGATTGTAAACTCTTCCATGCCAGGATTTAATGTATTCTACTGAGACTGCTACAGAATTTTGTGAAGATGTGTTGCCATCTCTTGGTACACACAAAACTCCTGGCTCTTGGTCTGCAACTCTGTTCTGCAGCGTCTATCATTAATATTCCAATCAAAGGTAGATCCTAGGCTGTTATTTATGGGATGCAAATATAATAATAAATTCTTATTCACTTTAGAAGCAGAAGCTAACACATCTTACACCATCATATGCAGAACATGGCTTAGTTTCAAGTTCTTCTCCTTCAGTGCTAAAATCTAACATTCTCTCAATTGTGATTTCCCAGTCAAATTACTTAATTTTACTTCATGAATACAACCAAATTAAGACTTTGTGTCTTCAACTTACATTTCTTTACAAAAGACCATATGGCAGGATTTGGAACTTTCACGCTGCTGTAGCAGCAGTTCTTACTAGTGGAAGTATGACATACCCCTTTGTATGCTACACACACATGCTTTAAGGATGGTTCCCTTGAAGTTTCACATGCTACCAAACTTGAGTGAAATATCTGTCACACAAAGACTCAAGCCAAAACAGACAGAAGTCTTGATACACACATAAGAATCCAATTCCCAGGAAGAAATATATAATTGGATTTGTATAGTAAAAGATGCACAAAAATTGAATATTGATTGACTCTGCATCACTGTTGGTTTGATGTTTTCTCCTGTTTGAACAGATCTATAATTCAGTATATATTTATTTATTATTTCAGTCTATACACAAACTTAATTTTAATTTTTAAATGTTGTTGTTAAAATTAAAATTAAAATTTAGCGCTTTTCATCGTTATTACGATGTTACATTCCAGCGCTTATTAATTTTACGACATGTTTCGATGCTATTGCATCATCCTCAGGTTTTTTATTGTTATTTTCATCTTTAAAACTAATATATATTTATTAATGCAACCATTTATTGATTTATTTGTTTTGTAGATTTCTTTTTTGTAGGTATTTCTTTTTTGATCTTCGTAGTGTTTTGCATATTTTTGGTCAGTTGTTCATTATTCTGTGAAATAATTCAGTTTTATGGGTGATGCACACTGCCTAAGGTGATAGGAAAATGACCCCACCCTATAATATTATATTCACCATTTATCAGTCTGTTTATATTTAATTACTGTTTTATGAATCACAGACCAGGATATGAAAACAGTTTCATAACTTTCATAAATTATTTTTAATGTTCATTGCTCCAAATTAATATATTATTTGTAAGTATAAATTTGAAGATGCTCAACAGATGGAAAGAAGTTTATAAAATGTATACCTTTATATTACTGTAAAAGTAGTTGTAACAGGATACTGCCATCTTTTTTGGACTGGCAGGTTTTATTTTTTGATACTGATTCACATAATTAAGTCCACCCATAAAGGAAAAAACACTCCATGTTAAGTGTGCATATTTCATTCTAGAACGGTTACAGGTATCTTTGTGTATTGAAAGTGTTCTCTATTTATATTTGCTTTTGTATATCACATTTGTACTTACATGTTCTATAATTTTTCACAACTTGTTGATAGTTACAAATTTATGTTTTTATATTATTCATGAAAATACAGTATTAAAACTGTTCTGGTGCTGTACTTTTGGTATTATAGATTTATCTAATATTCCTGTTTAGCCCTCTGCATGATATTCCTAAAAAGAATCCCATGAATGATGGATTTATATAACACATAATGTCTTATGGTTTTGTTTAATGGACAGTCATTATTTTCAGAGAATATTTTCACAGTATATACTGGCATTACCAGCATGTGCAAGCACCTGATTCAGGCCTTTCAGTTCCAGCTTCTACTCAGGATCTGGGTAGGTTTCTATCAACTGTCAGAATAAGGCACTTTCACCTTACACTTAATGCAAAGTGTTCAGTTATGACATCCTGGGAAGTGTGCCATTTTTGTTTTGATTTTTCATTTTACAAGGGGCAATAGGACTATTTTAGTGCAATGATACTTTTCTTATAATATCCATAACAAGAGCTGAAAATACAAACAATTTTCAACACATTTGGTACATGGAAACATAACACTGTAACAAAACCCTGTTACTGGCTGAAAACTAACCAGCTATAAAATGACTAACATCAATTTAATATGCTCCCTTATTTGTAACACACAACTTCTTCACAATGTGTAAAGTCCATTTAAATACTGTGCAGTTATGTCTTGTTCCCACAGACTGCCCAGCTCCTTGTTAATTCTCAAAATTTTACATGGATGCATAATTGATGAAAGACTCTCGGATAAAATGGTGAAGAACCATTTCTTCTGCTAACATTTTGAGAGCCATCTCTGCTCTCATCCTCAAGGTAGCTGCAAAATGAAACTGGTCCTATGTAGCATGCTCGCCGATGGGAACTGGCGGCAGACGGCAGGTAGTAGCATCGTGTTGCTGGTGGCCCATCTGTTGCTTTGTTCCGCACTGATCAATAGGAACTGGTAGATGAGGTCAAGTGCTTGCTATCGCTGGCTCGGCCTTCCGGGCAGACAGCAGTTTTGTCACAGGATACCAGGCCCGGCTTGTTACCCGAGAGTCTTTCATCTATTTTGGTCACCATGAAAGCTTCACTTTATACATGAATGCATAATGTTTACAGAAACAAGATGACAAATCTCAAGAGCAATAAGCATACCAAATTAAAGCTAATCTTCCACAAGTGACCCAAGTAACATTTTTAACAATGCAAAGAAACCTTGATAATCCACCCCTCAAGTAATCAACAACACACAGATTAAAACTATATCAAATACCTCACAAGTCATGAAGCAGTGATTGGTGATGAGGTCTCTGCAACTGTATAACATACGGTGACAGGTCCTCATTATTTGGTGAGCATTCTTACATCTGTTTCCATAACTGAAGCCTACACCATTCCCTTTGCCAGTCTGTTCTCCATACCTATAAACTGAGATATTTAATGCTATCAGTTACAGTGATGGAGTACACTTACCATTATTCTGTTACTGAGGCACAAATGGCATCTTAGTACAACTCATCAGAAGGTGACCACCATAAACGTCCCCATCACAGAATCTGTGGACACAACATAACAGAAGGACACCCAATATATACAGCCTAAGGTCATAATACTTCCAGTGTGCATAGGAATTCTTGACATTCAAATAAAATTTTTCAAAATGCCATTGATGCAATCCTTAAGAAACTGGCAATTGCTCAGTCTGACAGTAAATTCCCTACCTAAAATGCTGTTAATATACCAGACAATATATATGCACCTAAATGGTGAAACACATTAATTTAATTTCCTTTGTCTAAACATTTACACAGCATTTTACATTCACGCATCATACCTTTCTTTCAGGAAAAATAAAAAAGTGTGTAATGCCATCACAGTTCATCATGAAATTTCAGGACTGGTTTTATTGTATGTCAATAACATGTTGTTCAATAGGTAACACAAGTGAAGCAACTGTGATATGAGGAATATTGCTATGAGTACAATACTGTTTTGTGTATATGTTCATAATGGTCAACGCAATTAAAAATTGCTGATATTACAGAATGTGGGTATAAGTTTTCTATGAAATATATGAGGTATACAGAGTGGTGTGAATATCGATGTTCTGGGTTATGCTATGTAGCAGCTTGGCAGCCCAGAATATCATTGCTATTATGTGAAACTTTACAAGACAACCAAAGAAACCTACAAAATACTCAAACCTGCATTTGGAGAAGAAAATATCAGCCTCATTAGAGCAATCTAATGTCTTGCAAGATTTAAAATTTTTGTCCAAGATAACCAACATACCAAAGCAAAGTCTGGTGCATCTTGAGTTCCTTTCATAGAGACAGAGTATCAAACTGGTATCTTATTTGGATGTTCTGAAGTGTCTAACAAATATAATACAGCCTGAAACATGGACAATGTTTTATATTCCAATGACCTGAAAAGAACCCAAAAGGTAAACAGATTCTAGAATTTACACCATCCATGTGTGACACAAGAGGTAAACGTACTAAAGAAGTGTGTCACAAATGCTTAAATAACTGCTGCGATATCACTCAGGAGGAAATTACTTTGGATGCCATAAAACTGACAGACCTCTTGTTTTCAAGAAAAATTGTTCCTGAATTGTATGAACCAACCTCAGTCTATATTTCTCCATGAAGACGCCACAAATTCATTTCAGAGTGCAGGATTTTTTTTATATATTTCAAGACATAATCTGCTATAAATAAATATGAAAAGGAACATGCACAAATACAGCATCCACACACTACCATCTTGAAACATGCACAAGTTTCAAGTTAACACGGATTAGTACAAATGGCCAATAACATCACTCCTCCCTTTCGTCTTTGACTTCTGTTCAACGCTCTTTGGTCCGTAACCAACACCATAGATATTCACCGTGGTGTAGTTTACATGAACTTCCCAAAATAGCAAAGGATGCATCATCATGGTTTAATTTGTATAATCAAAGACAACCACTTGTTCAGTGAATAACAGAAATAAATAAATAATGATCAAATGAATTAATAAAATGAAAGTAATAAACAATACTTCTACATGCCTAGCCAAAACTGTGATATGGTACAAAATTGAATAATCCGCCTATAAAATAACTAGACTCTGTTGTAAAGTACCTGCATATAATCATATAAAGATGGAAAATGTGTACTTTTTAGTGTACAGATAACGTTTGTTATAAGCGAGGAGTTACGTTTCTGCGAATCGTCACAAACATCGAAAAAGCATGAAACCGAAAACGTACAAATTCCCATACATTTTCGAAGCGATATACCATGAAAGGTCTCAATTTGTTGTCACCGGAGTCAAATGGGGTGAGTCAGTGAATATGCGTGCAAATGCTAAAATAAAACCATGGATATCAAAAGCGCTTGTAACGAGTCTCCTGCACATTAAAATTCTAAAGGTGTTCTTCACGTCACATGTCCGGCGTTCACATCAAATGAGCACGATAAATAGAAAGTTGCCATTTTCAAGGCAAAATAGGTTTATTTTTTATAAAATTACAAAAATGTTTTATGCTACTATTTTTATATACGAAACTATTAAACACCAAAAAAGTAATGTATGAGAACATATGCAGCAATGAGTATTACTTGTGCAGATGTCTAACACAAAGGAACATACAGTTCAGCCAGTGGTAAATATGTATATTAGTAACAGAAGGTGGTTAGCCATGTTGGCCAATTTTGGGGGCCTTGTACCATATGTTCTGGTCAATAAACTACTCCTTACATCTCTCACTAAAATCCAATGAGGAAACTAAATATATGCTTCTGTCTAATAACCAGAATGTATGATAAAGTCATAATATGGAGACAGCTAGTATATTGTTCAAAATTTTAAGAAGGTATTTGGAAATGACTGTTTCAAATCAAAATTATATAAAAGGAAAACTATCCCTTTGCTTAATTAAATATAGTTTCATAAAAATGTATGGAGGAGTGTAGTTATAGTGCTACACATGGTTAATCAGATGGACATGTGGCCAGTTAATGCTCAGGCCACTTAACCTCCTAAGAAACAGCCCCTCAGTACTCAAAGGGTTTGAGGCTGGGTATGCCCTTTTGCTAGTCTGGATGTGGCAAATAGAAAAATCTCTGTCTCTTAGGAATCAAACCCTGGTAGTCGAATCAGTCAGCAGCCTAGTTACTGTACTGACTGAGCTAGCCTGCCTCTCACAAATTAATCTCGCGTTAAGTTCAGTAAATACTTGATGACATTGAATTCAGAAACTCCTAACCTCCTTTATACTTGAAAATGTGAAGATTAATCCTTCAGTATATGTATATGACAGTGATTTAAATGGTGTCCTACACTGTTGACAGTGGAGATTTAACCACCATATATGTGGTCTATAACCAAGTAAACAGACCACCGCCATGTGACAAAACGGGTCAGTACTATGTATGGAGGCCAGTACTGGAAGGTTAACATTTTCAAAACAATAATTTTACCTGCTGTTTTGTACGAGTGTGGGACATGGTGTCTCACCTTACAAGAACATAAAATTAGAGTGTATGAGAACAGGGAGCTGAAGAATACACTTTAACCTGAGAGAGATGACATAACAAAGAGGCTGGGGTTCACAATTTGAGCTCATCACTAAATATTAGGGAGTTCAAGTGAATAATGAAATGAGCAGGGTATGTAGCATGGAAGAAACATATGAGAAGTAAAGACCACTTGGAGACCAGGGCACAGATGGACTGATGGGAGTATATTATAATAGATCTTATAGAAATGATGTTTAAAGATATGGATATAATCATGATGCTTAGTCCAGTGATGAGCTCTTGTGTACAAATAATGAACAGTTATCATAAAAGTTTGTAATTTGATTAGATGAGTGACTGTTACGAGGGGCTATTCTTCATAGAGCTTTTTAGTTTATTCACTAAATTCTAAATCTTTTGTTTACCCCAGATAATGGTGGATAGTTTCGGTGTATCGTGAAAAGGTCACTTTTCCCAGACATATGTTTTATACAGTTTTGTACAGATCTTACTCTAGTAGCAGCAGAAGAAAGAATTGTGTTTTAAATGCAGTTATTTATTTTACAGCCTTTCTTTTCAAATTAAATGTATATTTGTATACAACTGTATTATTCATAGAATGTGTTAGAAAATTGTCTGCTTTTACTGCATTTATTTTTTAATTGCAAAGTTATGTATATGTAGAAATGTTGACAAACATAGAGATATTAATCTTAAATCTTGCATGCTATGCAGTGTATTGGTATATAAAATCATGTATACAAACAAAACTGTTTACACATTAAATAACACGAATATGGCCCCATGGAAGATATCTTGGACGTATTAAGAATAGCCTCAAAAAACAAAATGCTTGATGTTTTAGAAAAATTCTACATCTATAAAACTAGCAAAAAGCTAAACATCATAAATGAACACAACATCTACGACTTCAATGTGTTATTTGACCTGTTAGTAAACAGAAACAAAGTTAAATTTCATATGCAATAGATGGCCATTGGGATGGTCAAGGCCTGTAATAGGCTGTAGAACCTGTGATGATGAATAGATGGCCACACTGGTTAGTCAGAATGATTATAAACCCTGCACACATTTCAGAACTGACAGTAATACCCATGCAATGTTGAAGTTCACAATCCAGGCACAGGCAACACAACCACAGCTCACTGTAGACCAACAACAGAAACCTCAAGTAAAATTTTGACCAGTGCACATGAAGCCAAGTAATTCAATTTAGGTAATACACCAATTCATATGCAATTAAACGTTCAGTGTGGTATTACATGAAGTATGGCTTTATAAAGTGCAACCTTTTACGGTTTACCACCGTTTCATGAATTGTATGATTTTAATAGACAGACTAATGAATTAATGTTTTTGCTACTGATGATTACCTCTTGAGGTCGAAACACGTTTGGCACATAGTTTTATTTAAATTGTAAACAGTTTTGTTTGTATGCATGATTTTATATATGGAGACAAAGTTTTTAAAATATTAATATTTTTACTAGGCACAAACTTTTCAACTTGGGACATTCCACTCTTTGTGACTCTGCCTTAATGTACATGACTACATCTGTAAGAGAATATGAATTTGCAAATGGCATGATGAAGGCAGTAGCTGTGCATTATCAAGTACAATGATACAATACTAAGGAAGACATACAATTATGTGTTAACTCTGTTTTGTCCTATAGTTATTTCCTGTAACACAAGAAATAAGTGGAACTTCTGATATAATGGAATGATTATTTCTTGTTTTTAATATAACTTATGAAATTCATTGCGGCTGAAAAAAATCCTGAAATATGATGAAAATATGAATTGAATTGAATTAAATGAATTGAATAGCTATTCTTCTTGTTTTGGTAGTGGTGCAGAAAGGCATTATAGGAAAATAAGCTGTGGAGTCTGAAATTACATGCAAAGTTCAGGCAATAACACCACATTGTATCATTTTAAAAATAAATTTTAAAAAAATTTCAAGTTATAGTACAGCAAATACTTTAAATGCTAATGGAATACAATATGTTCTTAGAAAGGTATATTTTAAATTATTAAAAATGTATTTATATAGCCTCTATATTTTACATGTATTTATATTGATCAATATATTTTACAACACTACTTAGTATATGATATTAGAAAACATGACATTCAGAAAATCTTCAATAGACGAGTGAATTGAATTACATTCTGCTTTCATTAGTAAGGCTTTTCATTTGTGCAATGTGTGCACAGTGATAATGGAACGGTTTCTTTTCTTTACAATAATGATTTGGTTTTTGAATTCATAGCATAGTTTTACAAGCTAGAAGTGGGATAAAATGTCATCTTACTTCTCTTCAGTAGAGATGAAATTATTCCACTTCAAAATTCTGAGTAAACATATTTCAAAAAGTAAAGCCCCATAGAAAATTTACATGCTGTCTCATTGCATGATATATTTTTATATAATGTGTGGATGTTATCTACAAATGAGCCATGAACACTAATATTCCTAGCAAATATAATTTTTACTTTGCAACCAACTACACTAAATGATCAACCAATACATAGGATATGAACACACAGAAGCAAGGAGATCAGGTGCAGAATGACAAATATACTGACATTTTCCATTTCGGCTGACTGCCAGATTAAGATTTCATGGGCTTTGATAGGCTTAATTTGTGAAAATATTCCTTCAAATGTGGTATTAGTATTGTATAAAACATGTTTAAACACTTTAATATAAGATATGGCAACAAGAACTTGTATTATGTTAATGTTGCACGACTGCAAGTAGGAGAAATTAAGAGAAAATAAAAAATATTTAATAAAAATATGTCAGATTAATATTAAAGGTGAAATTGTTTATGATTAACTAGGAAATCCTAGAATAAGGTAGTATGGTCATGTGATAAAACTTGAAATCAAAACATTAAATGAGGCCAGAGAAGTATGGAGAACAAGACAGGTAAAAGCAGGTAAGGAAAAATAAACAAAAGGAAAGAAAATAGTGGTGGGAAACTGAAGAAGGAAGACTATGGTAAGTCAGATATAGATGGCAGAGAAGGCTGGCTAGATGTAGATCACAGGAAATTGCAAATGTTAATATGCTTCAATTTAAGATTCAAAGAAATAAACCAATTTAATGTTATTAAATACAGTGTAATATGGAATCCATTGTACATGGTTTATTTCCAGAAGGCCAAGGACAGTATGTGCAGGTTTATGGAATAGATTCAGTGTAATATAATGAATAATTTTGTGGCTTACTGTACTTCTTCTTCATCTTCAGTTGGCGCTACAGTCCTTGGTGGACCCCGGCCTCCTTATACTGTACATTACAGAGACATTTTATTGAAGGCTATGTTGGGACATGGCTTTTCTACTACATGCAAACAGTGTGTTGGTTGCTACCTCTCTTAGTTGATGAGCTGTGTTGTTAGAGAAGTTCCAGTGAAGAGTGAAGTTTACATACCTGTATTACAGAAAATTCTGGAAAGTTTGGATTGAATACATGTCCCATACATTCTAAACACATTCTGGCTTTCATGCTATAATAGTTCTGTCAATATACAGGGCTATTCAAGATGAAAGATTTCTATGAGTTCTTCCATGTATATATTGGTTAATTTTTAATTATCTCTACTGACTGATGAGACCAGTTACAGAAATTGACTGAATTACATGAATCCAAAGGGCGCACAAGTATGGATTTATAAAGCTACAGTTTCAGTAATTTTGTAACTGATCTCACTGTCCCTTGTAATACTCTGATTGGTTGTGCAATGTGTTTAAGAAATAAGCCAAATGTTCAAGACCAGCTTTGATTGTGTCCAACACCTGACAATAATTTAGTTTCCTCTCTATTAACATGCCAGTTGTTCTTACCTTGACACAATTATGAATAATGTTGCTGTGGTGAACTAAAACCACTGGAAACTTTCTTCTGAATCTCTCTCACGCTTGATACAAAATCACCCATTTCTTTAGTGTAAACATATTCATATTTTACAGAATGGGAATCTTGCACACTATTGAATCACATGCTGCTTATCACACATATGGAAAAACTATGTCCACATAGAGCCACTGAACAAAAAATCTAACAAAATTTTACAATGCACATGTGCTAATATGGAAAGGCATTTATGAGATTTTCTAAAAGTAGACAAAATTTATGCATGAGAACGTTACAGATGATATGTTTGGTGTTACTGAGCCTGCTTACATATAGTATACATTGGGAAGTTGAAAAAGAGTCATATTCAATAAAATGTTTGTATATGCCACTACACATACACAAACAATTCTTAAGCTATAAACTGTGCTACCAGTGAATGTCTGAGCCAAAGTACTCCAAACCCATAGAAGAATAGTGGAATACTTTTTCAAAATTTACATCTTATTTTCAAGAGAGATGCAACCATATTCTCAAATTCAAAGAGTAGTAAACATTTTACCTCTAATTGTACTTCAACAATGTAATAAATCTGTCACATTTTAATGCGAGGGATGCAACTGAAATCTTAATTCAGTTATTTGGCATCTGTTTTACCTGGCTATACTTTTAATTGATTGAAACTAGCAAGTGATATTGTGTTTAATAAATTTGTGAATTTCCTGTCTAGGACAACAGGAACAATACTTAAATAAGAATATTATTAAATTTTGCATCATTTTAAAGAGCATACAAAAATAAAGCTTTGATTCTTATTAACAATAATTTTTAAGGCAGAAAGATGAACATGATTTTTTCTGTTTTATGTATGTAATCCAAATTTGGTCAGTAGCTGACAATACAAAACATCCATAAGTCCAAAATGAATATAATAAATCAACTGATATAGCATTGTTTTAGTTTCAGCCTCGTGTCAGATACAATCTACAAATGCAATAAAATAACATTACTGTATTTATATATTAAAACTGACAGACACAAAATGGCATAGCACAAGGTTTGTGATGCACTAATTCACTCACCATGATAAATATATTCTCTGCTTTAATATGAAGGTTAACATCACATTTAAGGATGCCTATTTCATGTTCACACAAAGATTTTACCAGTCCTGTCCTGATATAAAGCAATGTACAAACTGAGATGACTGTCTTCTAGATTGTAGTGCTGTATAGTCTGGTAGAAGTTTACCAATGTTTCAGTGGTCCTTGCTGTCACTATCATCAGAGTGATGAGTCATCATCCTTATGCTGGAGGCAGCAAGAACCTCAGAAATGTCATACCAACTCCCTTTCCTCTGACTGGAAATGTAGAGAAACATCAATAAGAAATCTGAATTGAGTGCATTATTACAAGCTGTGTCTCAATACTCATGACTCTAGATTTACACTAAAGTAGAATGTACAGTTTCCAATTATTGAAGTTTACAGTAGGTGTAAAACAATAAGTTTGATTAGAATACAAATGCTGAATAGCATAAACATGGGGAAGATATTTGCTTTGTCTCAGATATTGAAAATTTGGCAATAAGAAATTTGCTTCTTTCATACACATAACTGCAATTCTGTATTCAAAAGTTCATTATTAGGAAGAATAAGATACTATTTATCATCACCTTGTGCTATACATTGCGTCTCCATTTTCACTGCGGTTTCCATTTCAAATTAATTTTCTTATTCATTAAGGCAGCTGAATACACGTTACAACTTTACTTTAATGAAGAAAAGCACATTTCTTAGTCTCATGTATTCTTCCTACAGTACTGTGGGAATTGCAATTAATGTTACTTTTTCTTCTTCAAACGAATTCCTGAAGGTCTTGCTGTTGGTGGTCTGTCCTTTGTGTTCTGATATTCAGCACTAGAGTCACTTGTTTCTCCTGATGATGCAGGGGTTACCTGGAGTTTAGGGACTGTTAATGGTCTCATCAGTGACCTGACAACAGGAGGGACATTAGGAGTGGGGAGCACTGGTGAGCTGGCACAGAGAGCAGCTGTGGTGAGTTGTGTGACAAGCGAATAGCGACTGGGAGGGGAATCAGACCCTGAGCTGTTTTTGCGAAATGCTCGCCGCAGTTGGGACTTGAAACCTGTGGACTGTGATGAGTTGTGACCACTGCTAGTTGGGAGTTTTCCTGTTCCCATAAGAAGTCGTGCACCAAGCTCAGGTTCACTACCCCACCGACCATAAGCTGTTGTCCTCTCAAGCAAACGATGTCGAGCAAACTTCTCAATAACTTCAGCACAGACATATCGTCCACAAAATCGTGCCCATTGTTCAGCTCGTAGCCCACGACCTGTATCTCGTAGTGTGGGTGAGGCACCTAGAAGCAAAGGGCAGTGGCAAAAAACTATTATAAAAATACTCTGATAACACACTCTAATATATAGTTAAAAAAATAAATAAATCCGTGGCATAACAGCTCCAGAGAGCCAAAGCTGACTAGCTTGACTGCTGGCCTCACGTTCACATGTCTAAGCAGAGGTGAACAATCATCCAACCAGATACAAGGTGATGTGTGGTCAGCACGACAGACCTTCAGCCATTGCTAGCTTTCCTGACCGGATTACGCTACCCATTGTAGCTTCCCAATTTCCTCACGATGCTGGGTTGGCACTGGTCCCATACACTAGTCGAAAGCTCATGAGAAAATTTCTTCTCCCCCTGAGACTCGAACCAGCGCGCATTCTGTATCACCGGTCTGAAGCATGATGCCTCAGACCGTGCAGGACCTAATATATAGTTACATACACGTATTTCAATCTGAATAATCTCACAACTAAGCAATGTAAGAAATTCAAGTATCTCTCTTTAGCACAGGAACTTCCTTTCCTGCTTTTATGATAACTGGCTCTTTACTTTGTAAAAGTGCCAAAAAATTATAACTATAATAGAAACTGCAACTTCTGTAACATAAATCCTGTTTGCCCTGTTTTCAGAAACATTGTACTTCATCCCAGTTACAGTTTAAAATATATTATTTGAGGCCAGTCAATTTATTTCATTTATTCATGACATTTTTTAGTCTTGTGTCTTGGTTACTTCTGAGTTTATTATTTAGTGTTAATATTGTAATTACAGATATAAATTATGCATATCTAGTGCTTTATAAGTTATAAAAAAGTTTCCTTTTGTAAACATATATATGAAGAGTGTTTGAAAAAATATGCTTTACACTATTTTATTGGGACTGAACTAAAAATTTGCACATTACAGAAAATGGAAAATTAAAAATTAATTCTAAATGTTACAACAGGAGATTGTATAGAAGCAACATAGTGACATCAACAGAAGTTTAAAAATTGAAGACAAATCTTCTGATTTTCTTACTGGGAATAAAAATGAGAAAACTTGAGTATGAAGTTACCAGCTTGTCCAGATAATAAACACAGTTAACACTATAATTACTACCACTGAAACATTTACTGCAACCACATAATGAACAGAATTCCAATTAATGTTTTACATGAAGATTCTGAAACATGTAAACATGTTATCCAACACATGCCAACTCACCAGTGTTACCAGTTCCTGCACAGAAATACTATAACTTGCTGATGAAGAGTGTCTTTAAATAAGTTAAAAACTCAGCAAAAAATCACACTACAGTACGACTTTTGTGTCTTTGTTAATTTTACAAATTTCTATGATGTGACAGTAGATAGTATTCTATGATAAAAGTAGTTTAGACTCTGTGTATGTACCAGCAAACAATAGGAGTTTGGCACACTTGGTGCGACCCTGCAGAGCTGCCTTCATCAGTGGTGTGAAGCCCAGGGCATTTCTTGCATCCACTTCAACGCCAGTGCACTTGCTCAGCATGAAGTTCAGTACTTCCACATGCCCTACAATGACAAAACAGATTTTCACAACTGGAATAAAGCCATTTGCTCTTTTCCAGTGACAAAGTAATATTCAAAGACATTATTACTTTCTGTTAAACAAGAAGTAAATCAAATAACAATAAGAAAGGAAAAATAAATTAACCTGAAAAAACAAAAAAATACTAAATCACATCTCAAATTTGAAATCTTTACACGATATGTACCATTTTATAAACATGATTGTGAACATATGAGTGATTTTAGTAAGCAGAAAAACACTAATCCATTTTATCTCAAAATCTCTATTCCATTTGTTCTTTTTATGCAATATCTCAGTGTGAGTGGGTGTAGGTCATTACCAAACATAGACACGTAATTAAAATGCATCAAACACACAAGTATCAAAGAGAGTGCCACTCAGAATTCTTTCCTTAATAAGTAACCAAAATAAATTATAATCTGCAATTTTTCTAATGTTTTATCCTTCTTATTTTGTGGCATTTACACTCCTTATTCATGTTTAAATCCCCTTTTTACCAACATCCACGTTTCAGAGAATTATAAACCTAGATACTGATAAAATTAAAGTAGCAATGTTTCATCAATCACAAAAATTAAAACTTATTTTGTTTTTGTCTTTCTAGGACATAAACATACATAGGTCTGAATTTCAGCTGTAAAAACTAAAGAGAAGATATCACTTCATAGATCGAGGCCTGGGCAAAATGATTTTAAAAATAATATTGAAGAAACAGGGCTTAAGGATGTGGACTGCATTCAACTTACTCAAGATAGGGTCCAGTGTGGTGGGGAGTTACCAACATAATAATGAACCTTCAGGTTGGGTCTATAAAAGCAGGGGTACCTTGACAAGCTGAGCAACTAATATCTTCTCAAGGACTCTGCTGCATGAGCTCGTTGTTTATAGGGTAGTGTGTTACAGAGGATTATGACGAGCTGGAACTAGAAAATAATGGCCATGACTTTTCACAGTCTCGGGGGGGGGGGGGGG